GCAATGATTTAGATAAAAATGCATAACCTATTTTTATTTTTCTTTAACGTTTAGTCATGTAATTAATACTCCCTTATTAGTCTACTTATTTTAGCATGACTTAGTACTTTTAGATTATAGTTATTTTTATTATGGCTTTTTAATTAGCAATATTTATATTATGTGATTTTACTGTCTTTATTATTGAATATTTTAGGATAATGCCATGACACATCTCATACTTTGTATTATTTTCTTGGAAAACACCTTATATAGTTGTATCTTACTACGATTAAAGAAATATTTGGAGCACAAGTTATATGTTTTATGCTACGAAGATTTTAATGAGGGAAAAATCGAAAAACCTGAGAAAAATCGAGATTGAAAAATCCGAGTTTTATTGGTTTGATTTGGTCTTTAAATTTAATAACCCGACATAATTAGTTTGGTTTGGTAATTATAAAATCCGAACTAACTCGACCTATGTACATCCTAATAGTAGGATACCAAGATAAATAAAAAGGGAAATGAACAAGAAGAATAGATGAGAGGAGTTATAATTACATGATACATATTGTGTAACGATAATGGAAAGAATAAGGTTTTTTGCATGCATAATGAAAAAGAAGAGAAGTTATAATCAATGTTGTATAAAAAATGTACGAGATATAATTATGTATATTTTCAATATATGGCATGCACCAAATTTATGTCTTTCCTTCCTCCGTTACTATTTTACATTTCTTTTATGCATTGGCGACATAAAACATAAGTAATTAAATTGATGAGAAAAAATAGAATTCAAAATACAAAAAATGTACGTATTTTTATGAAGGGCATTAAAAAAATAAAAAATGTGTGAAGTGTCCATAATAACGTCATTTTGGATGTACTTTGTTTGGACAATTTATAGTTCTAGAACAAGCCAGTACAATTTAAATGGATTGATTTTGATCTTCTTAAGAAAAACAAATGTAAGTGACTGTAATTTGAAAGAAAAAACAGCAGGATTACCAATTTTAAAAATATTGGCTTCCTTTATGGAGTAATTATTGTATTTTTTGTTCTCTAAGTTAAAATTTCCGTTTCTTTAGAAGGAAAAACTAAAATGTGACATTTGAATTGGCCGCCTAAAAGCGAGAGATATCAAACCGTCTATATAAAGCTGAGCAGTCATATCCAATTAATTCAAGTCAGTTTTTTAACAAATTCTGTAACCGTCAAAATACAACAAACACAAGAAAGTCTCTTCTTCTTCCTCCTCTCCATGGCCCCCAAGAAAAGGGCAAAAATGGAGTCCTCCGCCATTGTTACTCGTAGTGGCAAAGCCAAATTGGTCTCTGATTCTCAACCACCCAACTCCAAGAAAGCCAAAACAAACACCTCTGGTAACAGCGGCGCCTCTTCTTCAATGGCGTCGAAGAAAGCTGCTAATACAGAATCCTCTGCATCCGCCATTGTTGCCAGAATCTCCACTCACCGCGGCAAAGCCAAACTCAACTCGCCTCCTGCTGAGACTCAACAACCCAAGTCCAAGAAAAGGGCAAATGCTAAGCCATCTGCTAATCTGACTCGCCGTGACAAAGGCAAAGCCAAATTGGAGTCTGAATTGCCTTCTCATGATTCCGACATGTCCTTGACATTAACCATCTCTGAAAACAGGGCCTTGTTCTCTCCGGCGCCCAAGAAAATGGCCTCCTCCATTCTCACTCGCAGCGCCAAAGGCAAAGCAGAAATGGAGTCTTCAACCACTGTGACTACTCGCAGCTCGGCTCGCATTGCCAAAGGCAAAGCAAAAATGGAGTCTAACTTGATTTCTGCTGAGATTCAATCACCACCCAAGTCCAAGAAAACGAAACTAACCATCTCTGACTCTGTGGGTAAGTCCAAGAAAAGGGCAAATGTGCAGACTTCGACTCGCAGTTCTAAAGGCAAAGGCAAAGAAGAAGAACCACCCAAGTCCAAGAAAGTTAAAACCGCCATCTTTGACGGAAGTACCTCGTCCTCCACCATCTTGACCCGCCGTGGCAAAGCCAAGTTGGCGACTGCTGTTAACCCACTACCACCTAAGCCGAAAAAGGCTAAAACAACAACTTCTTCGGTCACAATTAGGGCAAATGTGGAGTCTTCTTCGACCAGAGTGACAAGGAGTTCGACTCGCAATTCTTGAGGGAATTACTGGATATGGAAAAGGTTATTTCTGATATAATTGCAAATCTCAAATCATGAATCTTTCATTAGTTTTATGGATTTAGTCTAATTGGGAGTATTAGTTTTGGGTAATCGTTGGTACCAATTGCTTTGATGTTTTCCATTTACGTACGTACTAGTATAATCATTCTTTACTCTGTTGGTTTTTTGTTCATCTTCTGTAGTAAAATGCACATTTGGAATTAGAAAAACAGAGTATGAAATAAGGAAAGTATAGATTTGATTCAGCGTTAATTTCCTTGATTATAGTTGTTACTTTCTGTTATAGTCTCGCATCTTAATTAGTGTTTGGCGTAAGAAATTTTGGGTATGAATTAGAAGGTTGTGTGGTTTTCCGTCCATTTACATTTTCATACTCTCTTTTAATTGGTTGCAGTACTTCTTCTTGTTAATTGCCAAAAGGAAAAAAAAAAATGTCCAGCACATTAAACACCAAGTTATTCTAAAAGGCCAAATTAAGAATTAATATTGATTTTATGATGAGATAATTTTAAGGGGGTTATTGTAAGTAAATTTGGACAGAGGAAAATCAAAGGGTCTGCTTTGGTATTGGATCCTAAAAAGGAAAAATGTGGGGTATGTATGATATTTGTATGTTGCTATATGAGACAGCCTTGAACAATGCGAATAAAATTCATATTCTCAAAAATAAATTTAGACTTTTTGTGTTAGTTGCAGCAACAACAACAACGACCCAGTATAATCCTACAAGTGGGGTCTGAAGAGGTAATATGTACGCAAACCTTACCCCTACCCCGAGGGGCAGAGAGACTGTTTACAAGAGACCCTCGGCTCAGGAAAGCAACAAGAGACGATATATTAGTACCATCAATAAAATCATAATAAAATAACAGCAATATAAGAAATACGAATTAGATGGAAGGTATAATAATAACCAGCAGCTAAAGCCATGCATCAGTAGATGACCACTAGAATCCTAAAACTAACTCCTAACTGGCTAATCTCACTCTAGTGCGTTGTAGAAATATTCACAACTTCCCCCTAGCCTACAACCTTAATGCTCGACCTCCACAATTTCCTGTCAAGGGCCATGTCCTCAGCAATTCTAAGTCGCGTCATGTCCTGTCTGATCACCCTTCCCCAATTCTTCTTAGGTCGCCCTCTACCTCTCCTCGTACCCACCACAGCCAGTTGCTCACACCTCCTCACCGGTGCATCAGTGCTCCTCCTGTGAATGTGCCCGAACCATCGGAGTCTTGCTTCCCGCATCTTGTCCTCCATGGGGGCCACACCCACCTTCTCTCGAATTTCTTCATTTCTAATCTTATCCATTTTTGTATGTCCGCACATCCACCTCAACATCCTCATCTCTGCTACTTTCATCTTCTGGATGTGTGAGTTTTTAACCAGCCAACACTCAGTCCCATACAACATGGTAGGCCTAACCACTGCTCTGTAAAACTTACCTTTTAGTAACGGTGGCACTTTCTTATCACACAGGGCTCCCGACGCTAGCCTCCACTTCATCCACCCCACCCCTATACGGTGAGTGACTAATTAATTTATTAGATAATGATATATCTTTATGGCTCGTTTGGTACGAGGGATAAGGAATAATTAATTCCGGAACTAAATTTAAGATGAGAAAATTGCGGTATAATTAATCCCGGGATTGGTTATCCCGAGATTGTAATGTTTTTATCCCCATGAAAAGGTGAAATAACTAATCTTGAGATAACTAATACCGGGATAATTAATCATGTGATAATCTTTTTCCAACCAAACGACCCCTTATACGCGTTTGTTATTATTTTCTAGATCTTAAAAGGATTCGTCAAATATCATTCACAATTTGATCTGCTGACCGTTTTAAGTGAACTTAGACAACTTAAATTTAGATAGAACTTGCGTATGTATTTACCTTAGGGTAGAGGTAAAGTTTGCGTACCACTATCCTCTCTGAATCTCACTAGTAGGATTTTACTGGGTTGTTGTTGGTGTTGCTAGGTATGTATTTGTACCTATAGGGATAGGCAATGGCGTAATGCTGTTTTTGCAATAAAGTGTTTTTCCCCCTACAAATTACGATGTCAGCAAATTGTATTCATTGTCATACATCTAAGAGTCGGTCAATATTAACAGAAAACGAAGTAGCAATGGCAAGAAATGCAGCGAGAAAAAGTTATTGTTAGCATAAAACGAAGGTTGACTTAAAGTCAAACAGGATTCTCATAGTCAATATTACTAGATTGACTAACCCATTTAAAAGCCATCAAAAGATTATCAAAATTCAAATCTGATTTAGCCATTTAATTCGAACCTATCCTATCATAAGTAGTGGAGTACTATATGTTATCATAAGTCTTCTATATACATGTATAAACTGACATTTGCAGCAAATATCACACAGATCAGGTATTCTTCAGAAGCTTCTTGTTTTGTTTTTTTTTTTTGTTTTTTTTTGCAGCAAACTGACATTTGTATATTTTGTTAGCAGCTATAATTATTTTTTGACCGTCGGTGAAATACGTTAAAAGTCCCCTTTTGTTTTAGTAGTGAATCAAGGGGTTTAATTTTTCGTTAGCCTAGTAAATATGTGTAGTACTTACAATACTCCATTCTCAGGATAGTTGCTACTATATGTTTTACTTTCGGAGGCACAAAATTTTATGTTTTTCGCTGTATCTTTTTCATTTTCCGATTTTTACCTTCATTTATGACATATATAGAGAAACACATTGGTTCATTTACCATCATATTAACTTCCAAAAAATAGAAGCAGAGAATAAATATAAAAAATTTCCGTCTAATACTTCAATTTTGGACTTTCCTCTTCAAGGCCACCGAAAATGTTGCTGCATGTGAAAGCTAGAATTCAATTTTTGTTTGCGATTTGTCTCCTCTTGAGGTATGACAAAGCTGACGCAAGACATAGCCTATCTGAGCAAGAAAGTTTAAAATTAGAGAAGCAACTACAGCTTCTAAACAAGCCAGCAATCAAGACTATTAAGGTAAAATTCTAATATTTACATATCCAGATGACGATCTTAGTAACTTCTAATTGACGATGTTACGCATCGTTGCAGACCAATAATGGGGACATATATGATTGCGTAGATTTTTACAAACAACCAGCATTTGATCATCCCTTATTAAAGGATCATGATTTTAGTCCCCAGGTAAATTTTACTTCATTATATAACATTCAACTTTCTCAAGTAATAATGCAAACCTAAAAGCAAAATGTTACATTTGGTTGTAGATGAAACCTTCTTTACATACACTAGAAAGACATGTAATGTCTTCAAAAACAATAGGGTTAGAAGGTGGCGGTTGTCCATTTGGAACAGTCCCTATAAGAAGAGTTACCAAAGATGACCTGATTCGGCAAAGACATATGCAAGGCATGGATGAAACTCCTGCATTTCATGTAAGTATTATTAATCAATGAAACTCTGGTGTTTACTCCTTCAAATTTTCAATAGTTTTATAATTTTATTTTCTTAGGCGATACCAATTAGTTGGGAATATATTTCAGTCATGTTAATTAGTACGTTTGCTTGAGGTCATGTGTGTTCCATGTGCCTTTTAGTTTTATCATAGATTTTATATATATAGAGAGAGAATATAGAATTTCTAGCACTTCCTTATTTTTATGTTTATTTTGCATAGTGTTGGTATGAGATGAATTTTAATGGAGAAAAATGATTAGTAAGTTCCTATAACAAACCTCAACTTGTTTGGGACTGTGTTATTATATACCATTTCCTTGAGAATATGGTAGTACTTTTGATGAAGGTGACAATATAATGTTATGCATTTTTCCTTTGATATATATCAATCTTTTTATACCCTTTCATTCATAATGTAATTTTACAGGGTAACAACCTAAATGACTCTGAAGCCGTAGCTTTTAAAGGAGGGTACAGAGTGAGTATACATGACCGTTCTTATCTTTTCTTTTTTTCTCTAAGTATATGCATGCAGGGGGATTTAGAGGGCGGAAGGGGTTCATCCGAACCCTTTTTGCCGAAAAATTACACTGTATATATAAAGCAAAATCTATTTTTTACCTCTGTATATTATGTTTTGAATCCCCTTGACACAACCCAAAAGCATAGTTTAGTGGTCAAGAGGGTTCAAAACCTTTGTGAGGCCATTGGTTCAATTTTCATCCGCCACTGGATGTATGACCAAATATTACTTTGAGTTACTAAGCACAAGGAAGATTTTTATTGGATCTTTACATCTGCCTTTTAATATGGCTTTTAAGAATGTCGTTTTTTCTTGAAGAATTTGCTTAGTGATTAACGTAGTCACAGACATGAATATAGAAAGCATTCTCTGTATAAGATTTTTCCGACCATTGTTAACAATGATTCAATACTTGTCGTTGTTGTTGTTGTTGTTGTTATTTTCGTCATCTTGATTTAGTAAGTATTCGATTATAGATGTTTGATATTGGAAACTTTATCTTATACAGTATGCTGGAGTACAATTACCAGATGATCAAACAAATGATATTACGGGAGCTGGAATGATAATGTCCCTAAACAAACCTTTAGTTCAAAAAAATCAACACAGTGCGGGTCGGGTGAAGGTTCAAAATGGTCTTGATAGCATACAAGTTGGATGGTTAGTAAGTTCTCTGCTTTACCAGAATTACCTACTTTCTTTGTTTAACAACAAGTCAATCTCTTTTTAAAGTTGATTTTCTAACAATTATATATATTCTGAACTTAAGGTGGGATCCTACACTATATGGTGACAACAATAATCGACTTTATGTGTTTTTTAAGGTAAACATATACTAGCTACTATCATTAAAATGGAGTTACGCTAAACAGAGACTATACTAAGTGCTTTCTACATTCCTGTTGTGTATCACAGGCAGGTAAATCAGGTTGTTTTAATACATTATGTCCTGGATTATATTTGTACAAGTAGACGCAAAGGTACCGTTGGGAGTCCAATATCCGGCATCCAAAATCGGGGGACCTGTTTATGAGGAGTTAATGTACCTTGATCGGGTAAACAACATATTCCATTTTCTACATGTATTGTACATTAATTTACCATCATAGACTTTAAGAAAGGAATGGGATACTATGTGTAAATCCTAGCTATTTCCTTGTTTGAGAGGTGAACGTGTGTTCATGTACCTACATGTTCAAGGTGAGTGTTTTAGGCTATTTGATGTGTTGAACTATATGCTTTTGTGTTTATGCTTGTGCTGGAAGTTTTGAAATAAGGTGGTCGAGTATCGAACTAATTAGTTGGCTGATGTTAGAAAACAAGTCGTAAGAGATCTCACGGGACCTTGTAGCACCGGCTTAGTCGTTGCTTTAACTGCAGCATGCACGCACGTAGTTGATTAGGCGTGGGACCGGATCAGTATGAACTGAATGCTGGTTGTACATCAGGCGCCCCTGGTGCACATCCTTCAATAAAAACTCTCTGAAGTTTGGGTCTGACAAAGATTTAACGAAGTGAAATCGTCCTTCAGTTCATGTTGGCTGCCCCCCCCCCCCCCCCC